CTAACATAGAAAAAATATTTATGGGTGGATCAATAGAGATATATCTACAAGTATACATATAAATATAAATATAAATATAAATGTAGATATATAGATTAGATTTGTCTAAGATTTTAGATTGAGTATAAGATTTATTAAACTACTTACATTAATTATGTTTCCATTTATAATTCAAATTTTTAATGTTGTCTTAAAATTGCCAAGTGACTTCTTTTTAGCTTGCCACTTGGCTTAACCACATGCTTCACTATTCTCCTTTTAATATAATATAGATAGATAGATAGATATGGACTCGGCGTTTACACTAAACCCAATGAATATAAAGTATTTATCTGTTAATTTGATTCGGTATAAATAATGAATGTGATGATATTTTCATCAATCTTAAATGTTACGCTTAAATGACACAATTATTACATTCAATTATTTGGAAGGTACATTTAATCAATTAAATATGAATAATTAGCTTAATCTAACTAAATTAGATTAGTTGTATCACATTTTCAAGTACATTAAAGGCTAAATATGATCTGTATATGACCCACTTTTTTTTATTTTTATTTTTATAAAAAGAATTTCCTCCAAAATTAGGAGGATCTATAGTGTTTCCACATTTCCCTTCTAGCATGACTCAACGCAGAAATGGAAATATTTTGGATTAAATTAAGACCTTCTATAGATAATTAGAATACGCTTTTCATATCTTATCTTTTGTAGTAAGGTCAAATGTATTTGTTGCGGCCAAACGCACACGCAAGTATACGCGGTCGTCAAGTAATAAAGTGACTAAAACTCGGATGTCGATCCCACGAGGACTTGTGATTAACTATAAACTAAATTAGACTATCCTAATTATCTAAACAAAAATAAAACCTAGAAATATTTGATTTTAAACTAATTAAAATAAATAAAAACAAATAATATTGCTCATAAGAATCTGTCGAGTTCTTACTCGCCTATTCAAGCTAACCTAACTCCTATATGTCTATGGAATTAGAATCAACAAGAACGCATTTATAATTTCTGTAAATCAACCAAGCAAGGCAATTAGGTATATGTCTATCCTAACTGCGAATCCGTTCCCCAAGGCCCAGGTTCAAGAACTTGCTCTACTCAATCCTATATGCAGGGGCGGATTTACATATAAAAATTGGGTGCTCGAGCACCCATTAACCTTGACACGGAGTATGTATAGCTATATAGAGAATTTAGGAAAAAGGATGTAATATAATAGCAAGCACTCACGTAACAAAAGGCGTGATGGGTGCTTTGGTTTATGCTGGTGCTGAAGAGCTCTGAAAGGCGAAGGTCGCGGGATCGATTCTCCCTCAGAGCAAGAATTGTTTTCTCTATCTTTTCTTATATTACTATTTGACTTTACTATTTTTCTTTTGCCCCAATTATTAGGTCATCTTTTTTGCTTTTTCAATTTTCACTAGCGAACTTTTTTAAGCCAATGCTTCTACTTTATTCTTTTGCTACTGACTTTGTTTTACTTTCTTTTGTTACTTTTTCTAATTCACTATCGCTAGAAAGAAAAGAAACTCTGCTTTAAAAAAATAAAGAGTTCCTCCAAAATCGCAAAATTCACTAATCTTTTTTTTTTTGTTGCTAATTTTATTATTCATCACAGATTCACGACGCCAGTAATATTAGTACTATAGTTTTGTCATTAATTTTTTATCGTCGTATTTAAATAGTTGCACACTTATACGATGTATTTATAATAACTTTTCAAAAAAAGTTGAGCACCCACGAATCCAAAATCCTGGATCCGCCACTGCCTATATGCAATCTAGAATTCCCACTTTCGAGTTCAACTCTAGATTCGTAGATAGTATTCAATTGGTGATCAAGCAATCAAATAATTAAGTGCAGGATTGAATAAATAAACCAATATAATAAACTTAAGAAATCAAAATCAATATTCGATAACAATAGTCATGAAAGAACCACAACCCTAGAACGTGAAGTTTAGCTCCACATAGACATGGTAGCAAAACAACAAATCATACAAAGAAACATAAAAAGACTAAGTTGGTGGAAGAAAAGATGAAACCCGGCCTCCACGGCGGCTCTGTGCTTGTGTTTTTCTCTCAAAAACGTCCTCCCCTCCCAAAATACCGTTTTTCTATGTATATATGCCAAGTAGGGTTGGGCCCAAACAATTATACCTTCTCCAATGTGAAAAAGGACACTTTTCCCGGGTGACTAGCGCGAGCTCGCGCATCCTTCGGGCATGACTTCTGACATTCTGCCTCCAGCTCCTTAACTCGCGCGACTTCGCGCAAACTTCGCGCGTTCGCGCATTTTTCACCCTGTTCCGTTCCGAATTTGGAAAAACGTAAAAGATGAAAGTTGTAGCCCTTTGAGTTAGCTTTCCAAACATATATTGTGGAGCCAAAATGGAGTTCTAAGCAAAAAGTTATATCTATTTTACTAGACAGTGCACAATCTGCCTACTGAAGTCTTTGTTCGCTCTAACTATTATCCGTTGATCCCCAAACACGATCCCGGCTTAATTCCTTGAACTTTTACTCAAACTTTAAAGCTCCAAATCACCTGAATTCATTCCATAACATCTATATAGCTCGGAATCACTCCTACAAGGCATAAAACACACAGTTAGTGCAAAACACTAGCGATTAAAGCTCAAACTCAATTAAAGTGCAGTAAATTAGAGTGTAATAATCAACTAAAATACGTAATTATAGCCTATCATCAGTTCACTCCTCAAAATTCTAGAAAATAAATTTAATTAATCTTAAATAAGCAAAACTTTAAAACATAATTATAAAAAAAACATCTTTTTCTGGCCCTATTTTTTTCCCCTTGAACAAACCTATAAATAAAACTTTAATTCTTCAATTTACTTATTCCCAATTGAAGAAATGTATGCATCTGGATCTAGATATACGGTGGAATGAATGAAATATCTCTGCTCTAATTTCGACCCTCTAATTAATGTTTTGAGAATAATTTTTTTTAATATAAAACATTTCCTGCATCGCAAATTTAAACTAGCCGAACCAATAATTTTTGAATACCACATGATTATAAAAGAAACTAAACAAACTTTGTATCTTAATTTTATTTTCTTATTTATCTAATTATTTCTTATTTTTTACATTATTTAGCTCCTTCCTCTCGAGCTTAGTTCATTTCATTTCACACACACACACACACACCGAAATCTGAGGCCACACAGACAAAAAATGCCGATAGACACATCCGCCAAGATCTTCGTCGCCGGCCACCGCGGGCTCGTCGGGTCCGCCGTGGTCCGAAAACTCAACCAATTAGGCTACACAAATCTCCTCCTCCGTACACATTCCGATCTCGATCTCACAAACCAATCCGCCGTCGAATCCTTCTTCGCCGCCGAGAAACCTCAATACGTCATCCTCGCCGCCGCTAAAGTCGGCGGCATACACGCAAACAACACATATCCAGCAGATTTCATCACTGTAAATCTCCAAATCCAAACAAATGTCATCGTTTCGTCATTTAATCACAAAGTCCAAAAGCTTCTGTTCCTCGGTTCCTCGTGTATTTACCCTAAGTTTGCACCTCAGCCAATTCCCGAAAATGCCCTTTTAACTGCTCCTTTAGAACCTACAAACGAATGGTACGCTATTGCAAAAATAGCCGGTATCAAAATGTGTCAGGCTTATAGGCTACAACATAATTTTGATGCTATCTCAGCAATGCCGACAAATCTATACGGTACAAATGACAATTTTCACCCTGAGAATTCACACGTTTTACCTGCATTATTACGTAGGTTTCATGAAGCAAAAATTAACAACCTAGATAAGGTTGTTGTGTGGGGTACAGGTTCACCTTTAAGGGAATTCTTACACGTGGATGATTTAGCTGATGCTGTGATATTTTTATTAGAGAATTACAGTGATTTAGAACATGTGAATGTAGGGAGTGGGAGTGAAGTTACTATAAAGGAATTAGCTGAGTTAGTTAAGGAAGTTGTGGGGTTTAAGGGGGAATTGATTTGGGATTCGACCAAGCCGGATGGGACGCCGAGGAAGCTTATGGATACTTCAAAGCTTGTTGGATTGGGATGGACACCCAAGATTTCGCTGCGGGATGGTCTTGTTGATACCTATAAATGGTATTTGGAGAATTATGGCAAGCAATAGTTCAGGTGATTGTTGAATGTTTCCCTGTGTTATTTTTTTACTAGTACAAGATATGAGATTGTTATTCTTGTTTGTTACATTGTTCAAGGAAATAAGCTTATGGAAGCTTAGTTGAGTTATTGATTATCTTTTGTATTGGTTTGAGTACTATGTTTATGTTAATTATTTTTTCCGCAGCTCCATTTATATTGAATGTGCTACTCTCAAAGAAATTATGTCGAATATTGGAATAGTTCATTATGAAATGTCTAAAAGCACGGAGCAATTTGTATTGAATTCTACTTCTGGTTGGTGATAAACTAGTTGAGAATGTAAATAACTATTTTACACACTAAGAGTTTCTTTTAACCACTTGTGGGAAATCCATCTCGATATAAAGATATTAGCTTTTTGTTTGGTACTGAAAATTATCTTTTGCATCTACAAACAGATGTTCATTTATTTAGGACGACCGCTAGTGCGCTACATGCTTCCTTCTGTTAGACTTTGTAAGTTGTGGAATTCAACATGTAGTTGGCGCACATGTGCATTATAGGGAGAAAATGTCCTCTTCCAGACATTCTGTATCACTCTAGTACTGAAAGAAAGTGATAAAGAGGGACCACACAGAATTATTTGGCATGACACAGGAAGCTTCCACTTCGAGTAATTTAGCTCTTGAAATGTGGGGGGTGCAAGCAATACTTGTAAATTGGGTGCAGGGGTATCCGTGGGAGTCTAACTCATAGCAGAGATCATACTCTTAGTTACCATTCCAGTACCAACGTTTCCTATGAGAGAGCTGATATCTGCAGTGATATCCCGATACCTTGTACCCTGTTCACCACTTCACCTGTACCTTAAAAGCAACTATAACCTAAATGTCATATAGAAAGTAATAGAGTATCGTTCTCATATAGTGTTATGTAGTTGTATACGTAGGTAGGTTCGATCAGAACAGACGGTTGCTTGCCACTTCCAGCATATTGCTTGCCGGGCTTAGACATTTTATTTTTGGTATTGTTAGTCAAAGGTTCCTACGAGCCGGTGTGCAGTGAGCTTATATGCTTTGTGTATATGCTGCAGCCTGCAGTTTAATTCAGAAATGAATTCTGAATTCGTAAATGCTGCTTTTGAATTTTAATGTTACCAAGGAGGAGATGAAATATTGCATAAGCGAGAAACTTTCTCTGCAGAAAGATCATAACTGTTAAGACACCTTGATCCATTTATGAACATCTCTATATTTCTGCTCAGTTCTTTCAAATGGACGCGTTCCAAGTATATCTGCAGGTCCCACAAAGTTTCTTGAAAGAGCAGGTTATATTTTAAAAAACCAAATTATATGGTGTTTTTACAAGTAAAATTGCTCTCTCCGATGTTTATAGACTTTTGCTTGTTTTGAGGACTATATCAATATAAAGAAGACCAAGTTGTAACAATTTGAATTTGTGTTAGATAAAATGCAAATTATTCATTCAAATCCTAGGCACTTTCCTATTAAATATAAAAGCAAGATACAAGAAGCATAAAAATGCTCTGAAATCTTCACTAAAAGATGGATATTGATAAAATGGGAGAAAATGCAGAATTATATATATTTTTCATGTATACACATTGTGTGTTATAGGGAGAAATTGTGCTTTCCAATCATTATGTGTCACTCTTGTGTGGAAGGAAAATGCAAAAGGAAACCACGAAGAATTCTTTGACATGAAAGAGGAAGCTTCCAGGAATGTTGCTTGGATATGGTGTACAAGCAATGCTTGTTGATGCATATTTTTTGTTCCTAACCTGATGCCGATCTTTCCTATGAACTAGCTGATACTTAGTAGTAATTGCTCAACTTTTGTAGTTTGTCACTTGTAACTTAACATCAACTCTAATTTGAAGTCATGTGACTTATTACAAAACCATTCTCTCATAAATTATTAACTAGTTGTGCAAGGATGCATACTGCACTAATGTTAATTCATAACAAACAACTGCATACCAATTTCAATAGATTATATGCTGGGCCTAGACTTCTTATTTTTGGTAGCGCTCTGCCAAAATTGGAATTTCCTACTAGTATGTCATGTGACTAATCTACAGTGAGCTTATCTGCTTGGATATATGCTGCAGTGAGACCATGAATGATTTCTGATGAATGCGCTGATGCTGTTTCTGAATCTTAATGTTACCAAGAAGAAAAACATCAACTGCTGCATTCTAGTTGGATGATCACTGGTTCTGAGGACCTACAAATTGCATGGCGATCGGCCCCAAGGACCAGCCTATTTTGTGAGTGAGTAATGACGCTGATAGACTGTGTTTCTTTTCCACACTAGCTCCCCTCCCCTATGTTAAGTGAGACTAGTGAACTGAATTACTGAAGCCTGTTGAGTTCATATGGTTATTTATTGGATAAGCTATTAGAGGTAACATAACGCTAAATGACTTCGTGTTGCTGACATTGGAAACTGTTAATTCTGTTACTGGTGTTCGTTTCACCATTCACACAAGAAGCTGCTATAAGGACGAGTATCGATCATTGTTTTATTTGAAATTGATTTCTTTGCATATCATGTTTATGACTAGGTGGCTTATAAACTTCATTATGTCACGATGTATTTATGTCCATATTTTGAAACTAATTCTTGCTGGATATTTATCTTTGTTCATTATGCTGTTCTAAAATGGAATGTGATTATGCTTGTGTGTTAAATCTTTGTGCTTCACATCTTTTCTTTGCATATCATGTTTATAACTATGGACTTGCTTTGTTTGAAAGCTAATAATTCATGACCTGTTAAGGTACTTGCATTTTTCTAGTGCTGGATAAAAGAGGCAAGTGCACAGATAGTCATTCTTAGGGATGCTATTTGGAGATTAGCAAGTATTTATTTTGTTATGAAATTTTAAACTAAGAATCTTAACTTCAGGACATTTTTGTCCTGAAAAATTAAACTGGAAAACTGAAATTCAGGACGCACTAGCTAATTTCTAATAGAAATCCTTTAGAGTGGCTACCTGGTGTGATTTCTATCGGATAATAAAATAACTAATAGTATGGTACTTGTGTTTTCTAGTGATAGATGAGCTAACTAATAGCATGCAAGATGAGAGGATGAGATTCCATGATATATGCTGTTTGCAGACAATAATTTATTATTGATGTTACCTAACAAAGTGAATGATAGTTTTCTAGGACAATTTTAAGACCAATATATCATATGAGAGTGAATACTAGACCTCTAATGTCCAACACATCGATAAGACGATAAGAGAGTGCTATAGATAAGAAATACGTATGCTAATTCTATACCATTATATGTAAAAAAGATAAAAAGGGTGCACTTATATTAGTCATGCAAAATAAAGATGAGACACCATTGATTTTTTTTGCTATATCTCACTTAGATCTCCAAATGCACATATCCAGAGGTGCAATATTATTCAACAACAACATATTCGGTATAATTTTACCGGTGGGGTTTGGCGGGGGGAGGGGGAGGGGATATGTATGTAGAGCTTACCCTACCTTGTGAAGATATGGAGGCTGTTTCTAATATTCTCGGCTGAATGAAAGCATCATGCAGATTTGAACAGTATAATTTTACAAGTTTGGTTTGTGGAGGGTAATATGTAGGGGTGTTCATGGTTCGGTTTTTCCCTAAAAAGAAATCAAACCAAGTAAGTCGGTTTTTCAAATATTAGAACCAAACCAAACCAGTTAAGTCGGTTTTTTCTCGATTCGGTTTATGTCGGTTTTGTTGGTTTTTTCGGTCATTTGTCGGTTTTTTCTTAAATATAAGACATACACTATCAAACACATATTCCGGCGATCATATTTTCAGCGTAACACTATCAAAACAATTGCCCTTTGAGAAATCTATTATTTACTAAAATATATTGATGATAATTGAATCAAATAGTGATGAATAATTTAAGGACTCAATTAAAAATATATTTTTTTTAACATGAAATGGATTCTTACACTTAACAAAAGAAAACTACCAATCAAACTAGCATATAAAGGTAAAAAACTGTACTAAAAGTGCAAAAGATTAACATTCACCATAAAAATTTTGAAACTTCGTATAAAAATATACATATGTATAGGTGTAATAATAAATTTGCAATAGCTACTCCTATAGTCGGTTTGGTTCGGTTTTTTTCGGTTATTTTTTGATTAAAACCAAAACCAAACCAAATTTGATCGGTTTTTAAAATTCAAAACCAAAACCAAACCAAACCAAAAAGTATCGATTTTTTTTGGTCGGTTTGGTTTGGTTTTCGGTTTGGTTCGATTTTTCGGGTTTTTATGAACACCCGTAGTAATATGTACGTAGAGCTTACTCTATCTTGTGAAGGTGGATAGACTGTTTCTGATAGACTCTCGGCTCAAGAAAAACATAATCATGCAGATTTGAATAGTGTAATTTTACACGTGAAGTTTGGGGAGCGTAACATATACGTAGAGCTTACCCCTGCTCTCGGCTCAAAGAAAGCATAATCATGCATATTTGAATGTAGGTGCGCAACATTATAATTACTAAATCCTAAAATTGTGTAGAGGAAAAATTGTCTCAAAGAGACCTATGATCTCCCTTGGTCAACAAATTCAACTAACAATTGTACAAATAGAAGTAAAGAAGTTGCGTAAGCCAAAACTAATTGGATATAAGTGATATATATAGCAACAGGTTTGGAATTAATATAAATAATTAAAAAAAATGAAAAATGGTAACCTACAAAATATGTCAGATAAACTATTTGTCCATCTCATTAAGCTTGTTTCCTTTTTCAATTTTGCAGTCTTGTTTGGTTCATTTTCAAACTTGGCAATAAAACATAATAAGTACAAACTAGTTTTGATCAATGAGGACAAAGGCAAATCCATTAGGGCTCTGCAACAATATTCTTTTGGTTTCCTAATAATTATATTCTTTTGAAACTCTAAGGTGCAATAATTTTCTTTTTCTTTTTTCAATTGTGGTATTTGAGTCGGTTTATGTGGGGTTTTAAGCCTTCATGGCTTTTTACAATGTTGAATTTAAGATGTCTTTTTTAGGTCTCTTACGTGTAAAAGATAGATCTCTTATGTATAAATGAAATCTCCCGTATATAAAAAAATAGATAAAGTCATAAAACTAAAAACAAATTCGTAATGGCCACAAACCAATTGACCCGTTTATGCGCGTTTTATATAAATCCTTATTCTATCATGATTGGGTGTATTTTCCCTCATTAATGTTTGTCATGGAGGTTAATATTGCCAATGCATCCACAGAGAAATCGTTTTTTTTTTGGTTGACATTACTAGAATTTGAACTTGGTCTTTCATAATTTAGGTTAGCTATTGTGGGTCCAATGAGAGATAGAGGAGAAAAATTGCAAATCGTCCTAAATTTTTGTTTTATGACCCTAAAAACCAAAAAACGAATAAAAATCACGGTGAAGCGATGACTATTGTTCATTAGGTCGTTTCTGATGGCCCGAAAAAAGTTTAGGTCTTTGGAAACCCGTCACTCGAATTCATGAAGATGGCGTTGACATTGGCATACGAAATATTGGAAATCGTCCGACTTTCTGTTTTATTGTCCTAAAACGCCAAAAAATGAGAAACAATTACGGCTTTGCCATGATTATTGTTAATTATGTCGTTTCTGATGTACCCATAAAATTTTAGGCGAATCGGAGCCTGTCACCCGAATTAATGATGATGGCGTGGGCATTAGCACACGAAAAATTAGAAATCATTTCAAATTCCTATTTTATGGCCCTAAAATGCCAAAAAACGAGGAACGGTCATGGCAAAGCAATATCGTTTCAGATGTGCCTAAAAAATTTTAGGCAGAGCCCGTCGCCCGAATCATGAAGATGGCGTAGACTAATAGTACACGAAAAATTTGAACTCGTCTTGAATTCTAGTTTTATGGCCCTAAATGATAAAAAACGATGAACAATCATGGTGAAGCGATAACCATTGTTCATTAGATCGTTTCTGATGAGCACACAAAATTTTAGGCGATTTTAAGATGGTCGACCGAATTCATGAAGATTGAAAATCGTCCTAAATTCCTGTTTTATGGCCATAAATGCCAAAAAAAAAAAAAAAAGAAAGGGTCATGTGATGCAATGATTACTGTTCATTAAGTCGTTTCTGATGGCCCCATAAATTTTTAGGCGTGTCGGAGCCCGTCGCCCGAAGTCATGAAGATGGCATGGAGTAATGCACACAAAAAATTAAAAATCGTCTTGAATTCCTAATTTATGGCCCTAAAACTGTAAGGCCCTGTAAAATTTTACCTAAAAACACGAAATTTCGTGGTGTCAAGATAGGCTTATGTGTTAAAAAGCGGTTCAGAGTATTTGGGGTTGAATAGTACGCTAAAAAGTTAAAGGAAATTATTTTACAGAACTGTGCGTTTATGCAGCTCATTATGCGGCCGCATAATCACTCTGCGGGCCGCAGAATGGCCGCAGAGTGAGGCAGTCTTTTGGGCAATTTTTGATGTCATTTTTGCTGCCCATTATGCAACCGCAGGACCATTTCGCGGGGCGCACTTTGATCGCATATCCAACGTTGAGATTTTTCAGATGGTGGTTCTGCGGCGCATTATACGACCGCAGAACAGGTCTGTGGACCGCCGACAGGTCGCAGACTGAAGCAGAAAATATTAGCTCCGGAGGGCCAATTATGCAGCCCACCTTGCGGACCGCAGAAGCATTATGCGATCGCAGATTTATGTCGGGCTCCTATTTTTCTAATTTTTATAACCCGACCCAATCTCGTTACATAAGCATTGTGGACCATTTTTCTTGCAAAATCTGATACTTCTAGAGTGAGAGAGAGTGCTTAGAGTGGGGAAGTGATCTTCAACCAATCAAATCATTGAAGATTAACAAGGAAAAATTCACTAAGTCTTCATCCTAGAGGTAAGAATCTATACCCTAGCCCTAAATTCCGAAATTTGACTAGAAATGGGTAATTAGCGAGTTAATTCATGGGCATGGAAGTTGTTTATTCTGCATGAATGTATTAACAAAAGGTGTAGGAAGATTGTGAGCTAAAAATGGTGTTAGTGGGGTGTGGGATGATGAAATCTTCCATAAAAAGGACCTTGGGACCTTAATGCACACTTAGTGGTTGATGAAATGCCCAAATGAACTAGAATCATGATCATCTTTCTAATTTTTGGTTCAACTTGTTATATTTCTAAAATAGATTGAAATTGCTAAGAATTTCGGAATATTGTAGAGTTTAAGGAAGCTCGATTGAGGTATGTTGGCTAAAACCCCCTCTTCTTAGAATTGAATCCCATAGTATTCATAAAATATGTTTAAGTCCCAAATTAATCGTTATGGAAATTGATATTCCGAATGTGTTTGCGCCGAAAAATATATGTGCAATATGTATTCATATGCTTTCATTATATTATCTTATCATTTGAGAAGGTGTTCAAAACATGGAAGATGTGCTAAAAATGCCTAGACTTCAAGTCAAATCCGAATATTGATTGTTATGCCAAATTGTGTTAAAGGTCTCTATGTGCCTTAGATTCTAAATTGCTAACATGTGTAATCAAAGTCTCGAATGAAAAGCCCTGTTGTTGTTGATGATGATAAAAATGTTGGAACGTGGAAAAGAACTTGAACTATGAAATACGGCCAAGTGCCA